GAACTCTGTCTCTCTCATGAGCCAGGTACTAGTCAGATAGCGAGAGGGTGAGAAGGAGATGGTGGACTGAGAAGAGGAAGAAGAAGAACTCTGTCGCTCTCATGAGCCAGGTACTAACCTGTGAAGTTGTCGCTGTGCTGCAGGTACCTCGAAGACGAAGCTGGAGCAACGATGCTGCAGGTAAGTACCCCTGGCCTCCGCCCAATCTCTCTCTCTCTCTAGTACTACTCTAGCTATGGCGCCCAGCGGTGAAGACTACACCGAATGCTACTAGCGCCCAGCGCTGAAGACTACTGCTAACACTACCACTACTCCTGCAGCGCTCCTCCAGAGTGCTGTTGCCGAAGCCTGAAGACTACTGACTGCCTCCTGCCTCCCCGTGAAGTGCATGGGAAGTCCCTATGTACTACCTCGACCTGCCTCCTGACTGCCTTCGACTGGCTGCAGTTGCAGGGCGGGCAGTCCAAGAGGTTGCTCTTGCCAATGCGGAACTTAGCCAGGGCCTGGCGCTGCAGCTGTCGTGGGAACAGGCCAAAAATAGCCTGTTCCTAAAACCCTGGTTTGGTGCCTGAGTTTCAGGTCAGGTCGGTCTGATGACAGACCGAAAATGGCCCTTCATTTCAGGCTAAAAAGGCTGCTACCATTTTTAGTCTGAAACGACACAGGGTCTGTAGGCCCCTGTTTTTCAGGCTTTCGGGCTGAACAGACACGGGGCTTGTAGGCCCTGGTTTTCAGGCTTTCAGCCTGAGGGACGCAGGGCCTGGAAAATGGCCCTCGTGTGTCGGCGCAGCATGTAACACCTCTCTCTCTCTCTCTCTCTCTCTCTCTCTCTCTCTCTCTCTCTCTCCTGTGCTGTTTTGGAAGCTGCCTCGGTCACGTCCCAAATCTCTCTCTCTCTCTCTCTCTCTCTCTCTCTCTCTCTCTCTCTCTCCTGGCTCGCCGCGCGTGGCCCTTCCGCTGTTTCTCGTCGGGAACCCCCGCATGTGCCGTTTGCCTCACCTCCGGGACCGCCCCTGTTTCGCGTCAGCCAACATCGACGTGCGCGGCCCTTCCCTTGTTTCGCGTCGGCACCGACGCGTGCGGACTACATTTCAGGCCTCACCCCCGAGTGTGCCGTTTGCCTCACCTCCGCGAGTAGCGTTCACCTGCGCGCGGGGCTCCCCTCCGGTTCCGTCCCTCTGCCTGTTGCCGGGTCCGCGTCCTGCCGTTTTTGGGAACGCGTTCCGTCCCTCGACTGCTGGCGGGTACCAATCGCGCCAGCCCTTACCTCCGCCTCTTAGCTGGTTTCCACTGGGCCCGTGACTGCGTGTGTCGTTGGGACCTTTGCATCTTTTAGGTGTATAGAGAAAAGATTAGCAGTGGTTAGAGGATTATTGATCAGCAATACAATTGTCATCCTATTTCTAGACACGACCTCTATTTTGACTAAGGCAAACAGAACACTAAGACCTCTGGGCCTACACAAAGACAGCAGAAAAAGACAAAGAAATGGCCTGGTGGTCTAAGGCTTCCCAGAAGATTGACCCCAGCAAGTGACAAGTATAGGTGTCAATCCCTACAGACCTCAAGACGTCGAAAAACTAAAAAACTATACTACTTAGAAGGAAGTCCTGACAAGGAACAGGTCAGGGGATCAAGCCCAGTGGCACCCAAAATATTACAAAACTAATCTGCTTAGTTATACAGCCCACCGGGCTAAAGGGCTGTATAACTAAGCAGATTAGTTTTGTAATATTTTGGGTGCGGAATGACTGTGTTTTTTGGCGCGAGCGCCGGTCAGTAAGCGCTCCCGCCCGCGCCGATTTTCGAAGTCGTGCAAGCGCGAAATTTCGCACGCGTTTGGTACACGCCAGCGCTGTAGAGGAAGTCGCCCCCCGCCGCGCCCTTCGGGCGTGGCCATGTGGGTTGAAGGGGATGAAGCGTGCATACACCATCGCCGGCGTTTTGGAAGACCAGGAGTTACAGCCGCCAACATTGCTGATCGTATGTCGTCGCTGAAAAGTTTCTGGTAAAGGAAACTCAGCCGCTATGCTGCTCCTAATGGCGCGACCATACCATCCTCGACCAAGGAGTGGACCACGCTAAGTGAGAAGTCATAGACCCCCCACTAACGCCCTCTTCTCTTCACTACTTCACCCCTCCACTACTCCTCCACGACCTCTCCCCCACATCGAAATCCCGTGGGCTGTTTCTCCTAATGAGCTGCCATCCCACTCCCAGCTGCTTCCTCCCTTCCTAGCAGTAACGTAACCCCCGCGTCCTCCCTACAAACTTCCCTTCATCTGATCAATTCCTTCGCCCGAACTTTGGGTTCCCTCTCACCTGTTTCACTTCTTCTCCCCCAACCGCCCGAGGGACGTACATCGGTCTTCCTTCTATCCCAGTCGATCGGCGACCCCATCCCCCGCACGACTGGGTTCCAGCATCTCTCTTCGACCTTTCCCCCCATATAACCTCACGATTTCTGATCTTGCTCTCAACCTTCGACCTACCACATCCCTCTGCCTATCCGTCTTGCTGGTACTCCGCTTCAGCAAGGCCCCCCCCCCCCCACATTATTCCCTTCCTTTCTCTCGCCCACCCTCTCCTTCTCGTCCATCCCTTCGCCGCCTCCATCATCCTTCTTCGTCTCCCTCTTAACCCACCTCGGTTCCATCTCACCCCAGATTCGATCCCCACCCGATCCCTCCCAGATTCCAACCCGATCTCATTGCGAACCCTAGACTGATACCATCCCCACCCCAATCCCGACTTGATTTCACCCCGATCCCGAATCGCTCCCACTTCGACTCCACCCTGACCCCACCCCGATCCCAACCCGGTCCTACCCGGATCCCATCTCCATCCTATCTCGATCCCATCCTGGTTCCATCTCGACCCTACCTCGATCCCACCCCGGTTCCACCCTAACCCAGATTCGAAACCTACCCGATCCCTCCCTGACTCCAACCAGATCTAGCTTCGAACCCCATACCGGTACCATCCCCACCCCAACCCGAAGTTGATCTCACCGTGACCCCGATTCGCTCCCACCTCGACCCCACCTCGATCCCATCCCGACCCCACCCCGATCCCAACACGATCTCACCCTGACCCCATATCGATCCTACCTTGACCCCAACCCGGTTCCATCCCGATCCTACCTCAATCCCACACCGCTTCCATCCCAATCCAATCTCGAATCCTACCCGATCCCTCCCAGATTCCAACCCGATCTCGTATCGAACCCCACACTGATACCATTCCCACCCCAATCCCGATTCGATCTCACCCCGATCCTGATTCGCTCCCACTTCGACTCCACCCCGACCCCACACCGATGCCAACCCGGTCCTACCCTGATCCCATCTCAATTTTACCTCGATCCCAACCCGGTTCCATCTCGACCCTACCTCGATCCCACACCAGTTCCATCCTAACCCAGAGTCGAACCCTACCTGATCCCTCCCAGACTCCAACCAGATCTCGCGTCGAACTCCGTACCAGTACCAACCCCACCCCAACCCCGATTCGATCTCATCCTGACCCTGATTCACTCCCACCTCAAACCCAACTCGATCCCATCCCGACCCCACCCCGACCCGAACACGATCCCTCCCTGATCCCATCTCGATCCTACCTCGATCCCAACTCGGATCCATCCCCATCCTACCTCGATTCCACCCCGGGTCCATCCCAATCCAAGTTCGAATCCTTCCCGATCCCTCCCAGACTCCAACCCCTAGCGACTTGCACCCCTTAGCATCCTCCCCTCTAGCATCCTCCTAAAGCCTTTCCGAAGGGTACCCAACAGAGACAACGTCCAGAAGCAACAGGAGACAAAACAGAGGTACATTTGTCACTACACCAAGGCAGGCCCCAGCATCCACATAGGATAAGCTCTAATTCACGAGAAAGAAGAGCGCAATGGAGGGGATGGGGATTGAGACACAAAACTGGCTGGCAGATCAAACAAAGGTGGAAATGGTGAAAACTGTGAAACTGGTCGAAGTAGAAGAAAACAGGAAAGAGGAGGTCGTGGTATACGAATATCCAAAAGAACACATTTCGAAACTAGACGAATTCCATGAGAAGCACGCAGTCCTCTTTACCTTCTCCAGGAAGAGGCAAGAGCTATATCGCCCAGCAAAACTCAAATGGTTGTGGGAGAAATTGAAGAGCCTGTAAACCTGTACAAGGAAATGAGCCAAAGGTCTCCTTTCATCCACGAACTAGGAATGTGATCATGGTCATTTGTAAGGACTCAACTTTTGCAGATTTCTTGAGGAACAAAACATTCACCTGCAATTCCTCAATTGTCACAGCCCATCCATGGAAACCGGATACGCCCTTCCAGATGACGCCCTCACGCTACAGGCAGTCTCTGATGAAAAAATACTTCTGGGTGCAATTTGACAATGTACTCGAAGGTCTGCACGGAGGAATTAAACAGAGACTACAAATGGAATACGGTCAGTACAAAGTGATTGATTGCATCGTGGCAACACCAGATTTCCTAGTCCCGCAGCACAACACGATGACAATGTACTTGGACCTGGGCAATGGTCTCCCACCACAACTACCAGACCACTGGTTTTTCGAAGTGAGAGACAGAACAGTCGAAGTGACAATCTCGTCCAAGAGCAACCCGCTGTGCTTCAAGTGCAGGCAAAGAGGTCATCTGGGTACGGACCCAAGTTGTCCAAGGAACATCGAGACAGCCAAGCCCATAATATTGAAGCAAACAAGCCTGGCTGAGGTGGAAGGGGAGTCGGGCTTCTGGTACATCAGGAACACTCAGTATATAGGATGGGTCTTCAATGACAACCTACCAAACCCGGACTGGGTCTGGATCATGGAGGGAGAACCAACCCCCAGACCTGACATCTACCCCCCATCAGATAGCAGATGGCACACACTAAAAATAGAGAAGAAATCGGCCAAAGTCTTCACCAAGGACCCAACACTCAACCTGGAAAGAATCCAAGAAGAAAGATGCCTCAAAGATCTGATCATGGATGTCAATGAAACGGGGGAGATCGCAGAAAGGGAATGGATGGAAAGGGAGAAGAAAAAAGCAGAGGGTGAAATGGAGACAGACGGGAGGGAACACAAAACTCTGGAAATATACACCAGGAGAGGCACACGCATAGCTCTATTGCAGCAACAAGAAGAAGCTACAGGGATGGAGGTGGAAAGCCTAACAGCGCAGCAAGGAGACAGTGGTAAGATTCAACAAGCAGCAGATGCCGAAGGCGAAGTAACAGTGGGAGAGAAAAGAAAGAATCCGGAAGAAAGGAAGGTGACAGCAACAAAGAGGATGCAAATGGAAAAAGCAGAAGAGGACAGAGATCAAAGCAGCGAGGAAGAATATGAACCATGGGCAGATCATTCTTTGGAAGAGATAAAGCTTTATATTCAAAAAGCAAAGAGAGAGAGGGACGCAAGGTTTGAACTCCAAATGGCCTATTTCAGGGAGGAAGGGAAGCTCAGACAAAGGATGAAGACAAGAGACCTCACTCACACCTTCCCTCTTTCAATGGACCCCTATGCACCATTAGAGAACGAAAAAGAAGTCACAGCCTTCTACGCGGACTGTACTGCAAAACCAAGAAAGATTAGACTTCAAAAGAAAAAGAGACAGATCCAAAGAAGGTAAGCAACTGGAGGAAGGACATGTTCAAAATGCCAACACTCCCTGAAACGTACAATAAGAAAAAGAAAGAAGAAACCCAAAGGAGACCCCTAAACAAGGAAGGGAAAAAACAGGAAGGACAGGCGGGAACAAAGGAAGGGGATACAGGGAAGGAGGGTACCGGAGAAGGCACCAGCAGAGAGGTGGACGAAAGGAAGCATCTGGTTCTGCAAGCAGAAGTTCTATCAGCACAAATAGATATGGTCCTGCAAGCAGAAGTTCTATCAGCACAAATAGATAGGGTAAGCCAACTCAATGATGAACTCATGATAAAGACGATAACAGTTGAAGGCCTCAATGACCAATCACAATTCGCGCTCTGGGAGAAGGCAAAGCAAGAGAGCAGAACGCTGCTACCCACAAGAACAGTGATTCCATTGAAAATGGATGCCATCACAAATGAGTGGCAAATTGCAACTTCCACCAGCCTTTCCCTGCTGAAACTGGAGAAAGGTCAAAGCAGGAACGAACTTCTGACAAAGGCAGTGCCAGGAGCAGAGCCATTGGCAATTGGTCTGGCTGGGGAACCCCTGAAAGTACAAGAAATTGGGGACAGAGGAGAGACGAAGGAAGGGATCAACCTAGATACAAGACCAATCTTGGTGTTGTATGGGTCAGACACAAAATTGGGAGAAGACATGCACCGGAAACCATGGTGGGAAGTAGTGCTGCTCCCTTCTACGGCGCTGGGGACAGAAGAAGCGATGGTCTCAACTGCAGCAAGCATAGCAACAACATTGGCAGCAAAAATCTTTAGCAAGGGGGCAAAGGGACTAAAAAAGTCCCTGCAGGCACTAGAGGAAGACGCGGGAGAACCCTCCTTGAGCCAGGAGCCAATGCAGCTCCTCTCCCTTTCCCCCTAAACGAACAAAACCACGCAGAAACGGATAAACCTCTAACCTGGGGAAATGCCCGAAGGAAGAAGCACCCTTGGAAGCAGACGTGTGAGATATCCTAGGGCAAGCAACAAGGGAAGAGGGGAATTAGAAATAAGGTCATGGAACGTGAGAGGACTAGCAACCATACTGTCAACACCTTCTAAATGGCACAACTTCGTAGACATGACAAGATGGATGGACAACAATCCACTAGACATCCTGTGTATCCAAGAGACTCACTTGACCACAACAGATGAACACCAACGTATCCTCAACGAAATACTAAGAAGACTAAAACACATTAAACACATGGAATGGGCAGTCAGCCCGAATGCGGCCTCGACAGGAACTTTAACATTAATACATGAAAAATCGGAGGCTTCACAATTTTTGGAAATAGACGGTTCTACAAGAGACGCTCAAGAGGGCAGATGGACAAAGACAAATTTCACATGTAAGGAAGAAGAATTATCATTAATTAACGTATACGCCCCCAATACAAACTCCCAAAGAAAGGCTTTTCTAGAGACAATCAGTCAGGAGTGCCCTAACCACAGACACCTAATCCTAGCAGGAGACTGGAATGCCACCCTAGAGCCATCCATAGACAGAACCTCGCACACGAGGGACAGTGCAGATGACTCAGAAGCTCACATAATGCTAGAATTGCTCACAGAAAAAAACCTGAGAGATCCGTTCAGAATGTTAAACCCGACAACAAAGGACTTCACATGCATACGAAAAACCAATCAAGGAAGAACCTCCTTCTCTCGGATTGACTACTTCCTCACCTCTGAATCCTTAGAAGGGGCAGTCAAGAGAGCAAGCATATTCAAAATTCCATATTACGGGGGTTTTGACCATAATCAAATAGGACTACATCTACATTTCTCATTGGACAATTCACAGGGCAAAGGTTTCTTCAAGTTAAACAACTCACTATTAACCCTGGACCATTTCAAAAGGGGAGTAAAGCAAGTTTGGGAAGAACACAAACGGGAGGTAGAGACAAGGGGAATAATAAACTTAGTCCCAAAAACAATATTAGAAGTCAGCAGATGGCTAAGTAAGGCATCAAGAATAGAGGCTAGGAAAAGGAAAGCAAGGCAAGAGATGCTAGAGACAGTGGTGGAAACAGCAAAATTCAACCTAATAGAAAACCCAGGATCCCCTATGTATGAATTTTTGCTAGAGGAAGCGAGAGAGGAACTCAAAAAATGGGCAGAATGGAATAGACAAGGACTAGCCATCAGAGCCAGGGTGAGAGACTGGGAAAGCAATGAGTCTATGACGAAGTATTTTTTTCAGAAAATCAAATCAAACTGCAGAAATAGCAGAATCAGTGGACTGAAGGGAAAGCAAGACACCACCCTAACCACCCAAGAGAGCATCATCCAAGTAGCCACAAAATTCTACCAGAACCTCTACACCTCAAGATCAGCAGACTTCAATCAAGGAGAGGTAAACAGAGCAAGAGAAAAATTCCTAAAGCACCTGGACGTCAGCATCAAACCAGAAGAGGCTAAGCACCTTGACAGGGAACTCTCTAAACAAGAACTATATGAGGCCCTGAGGAGCATGCAACCAAACAAAGTACCCGGGAGAGACGGACTGACCAAAGAATTATGGATGGAGAATTGGCGAGTAATGGGGGAAGACCTATTCAAACTCTTTCAGGAAACCTTTCAAAGAGGGACATTAGGGGCGAAGATGAGCACAGGGGTGATCACTCTCTTGTATAAGAAGGGGGATAAAGAAGACATAAAGAAATTACAAACCTATTACTCTATTACCAGTGGCCTACAAGATACTAGCAAAAGCACTAGCTAATCGCATAAGGAACGTTACAGATAAGTGCTTTCACATTGATCAAACAGGCTTCATCCCAGGCAGATACATACTAGACAACGCAGTGTGCCTAAACGAAGCCACCAAGCTAATAAGAGATAAAAGGCTACAAGCGGCCATACTTTTCTTTGACTTTGAGAAGGCGTACGACCAAGTTAACTGGGACTTCCTACAACTAAGTATGGAACGGATGGGAATAGGCCCAAATTTTAGAAGATGGGTAAGGGTGCTCTACGCCGATGCTATGGGTATGGTACAAATAAATGGGCACTTGTCGGACACCTATAGAATGACCAGATCGGTCAGACAAGGTGACCCGCTAGCAGCCCTGATCTTTATGTTTGTCATGGAAGCCATAGCAGCCTTCCTACGCAAGGATCCCTCAATTGACAGACTGATTGTAGAAGGACCAGATCGTCACATTTCACTCCCTACGGTCATGCTCTT